TGATGGAAACAACATGGAGGGGGGATTCGGACGAGATTTCAGTTATTGCAGTTGCACAAAGAGCTGACTACATCAACCCAGAATTGTACAGAACTGTCTTTCACTGTCGCTATGGGTCATGACAAGTTGTTTGAAATTCTTACATGGGTTCCCTTATGATCGGCGCAGCCTCTATCATGCCGGTGAAACTCGTCCGAGGATACACACGGGCCAATCTTTGAGCCTTTATAACTCCTCAACTAAGCCGTGTTCCGACCTAACAGTGCCAGATATGGTACACACGGGGCCTCAAATTCATCTTAAAGGGAAATCCCAGGAACCATTTTTATCGTGAACTGTGCCTTTAAAATCCTACTGCGTAATCAAAATGGAACAGAAAGTGACAAGAACGATTTAATCCCCTCTTAGTATGACATCTCCGCGTTATTTTTGTCGTGAGAAGAAAACTCATTCTCTCAATTGTCCTCATTCAACCTCAAAGTTCTTTTTTACAATTATCCTCCAAAAAAAACTAGAAAAATTATGCCTTGGACGAGAAAGTGACGAGTTTCAAAAGTACATATTCGGACGAATTTTCTACAGTGAGGTGCCCGCTTGCAACATATGCGACCCGGTGCAAATGGTGCAATGTCTACAGCCTTTACAGCCTGAGTGATTCGTCTTTGGGTGCATACGTGGACCAAGCCCGTTTTGGAGCCCTCATCCTATGTAGGCAGCTTTTCAACCAGATACCGTCCCTTTTGCTATTCTTAGGGGTCACAAGTTCATCCATGAAGAACTAACTTTTTTTAACGTGAACCATGCCTTTGAAAATGATTTTCAGTTTTTTATGGTTGTCGAAAGAAGTATCGCCCTGTGGAAACGCCAATATTATGAGTCTTATGGACCGAAATTGGGTGTCACATTTGTATTTCTCTCTGTAAGTTCAGTTTCTTTAAAGCACTTAGCTTTTTCTGCGCCATGGAGGAAAAACAAAAACTATCAATCATTACATATATATATATATATCAGATATGTCGATGAAAAATGGTTTCTGATGAAGGGTAGTCAAAGAAAAAAATCGCATGGCATTCTCTGCAATCTTTTTCAGAACTCTTTCTCAGGTTGTTCTTCCTGCTTCGACGCTAGTTCTAGCAATGAAAGGTGTTCACAGCCCACGAACCCCTATATACTGTGGCTTTGCGGACACCGGCTCGGCAGGGAATTTGATAGCATTTATGTCAGTGATGTGTGGAATCAACCTAATTACACTGATCATGGCTACAGTACTTCTATTTTTGAACAAATTTCTCTCCAAACAGTACGTGTCCTTACTCATTTTATCCAGTCATATTTGAAAAGCTCCATTTCTCGCCATGTGTGTACTGTTTATTGTTTCAGAAAGTCCTACAACCTCAACTTAACCTATCAACTTCGCGAAGGCGCTACAATTATCCGGATTATCCTCCCTCTGACATCATTTCAGACGATTTTTTGCTCGATGTTTTTCGCTTGTATTCTTGTTTTCATATCATTCAAAGATGTTGTGGACAATGTCACTGCTTTGATTCTCAACGTTGCCTTATATGTTAGTTTCTGCTCTAATTTTTGCAGCTTAAGAAGTGAACCCCGACTGTTACAACTGCATCACGCTCCTAAACCCTCGTTAAATAGCTGGGCTGCTGTCCGGGACTGGGGATTGTGAAGGGACTGTTGAAATGGTGCCTGAACTGCATTGGAAGGCATACGAGTTGGTTCCTTCGATCACTTCGCAGTGGTTGGCCGGGTAGACTTCCTTAGTCAGGATCTAGACCATTCGAACTTGGGTTCCAGTGGGTTGGTGACTAGAAATCCACTCGAGCTTTGTCATGCGAGTAATTGCGTACCGGATTGTAGGCATAGCGTTAGGGCACCCAATTTGTGGAGGAAAACATACCAGCAAGGCAATACGCACTGGCTGGTGATAGAGCCAGCGCTTCCAAAAGGGAGAAAGCGGCCAGATTGGTACCACTGCGATCGGAACCTCGTTGGGTCATTTTCCTAGGGTTTTCCTGAGTCATGACTGTCTCTAAACGATACAACCTGGCCACCTCTCGATATATAAAATGTGTAGGAACCATACACCGCAAAGAGCACGACTTTTACTCCATCTCAAGATCTTGGATGAAATTTTTTACGCATTACTTGGTTTTATTTTACTTTCAGATTATTCCCTACTATACTATTGTATCGCCGATCCTCATGTGGTTAACAGTACGATGGTCACAACAGCTGAAACAGGCCAGACTGAAGAATATTGCCAATAAGTCAACTAACGACTTCTTCGATACACAGAGAGAAATGTGGCATTGATAGCTAATAAACTTTTTAACTAATGGTGAAAATAGCAACAGAGCAAAGTTCGCACTGAAATGGGAAGATGGAATGATGAACAGGAAGCAACGTAGTGGCTGCTTCCATAGTCCACGATTTGGCGAGCGACCGATCGCGCGAACGGCCGAGGAGGCTCCGCTAGCCATGGGCGCCCCGAGGGATCTGTCGCGCGACTGGTCGCTCGCCAAATCGTGGACTATGACAGTAGCCAGTCTGCGCTCTCTTGGAGTCACAACTCTGTGAATTCGGCCTCCTGCCCCACTTCTCAGCCAACAAATTTAGTTTTAACTGATAACAAGAAACTCTTCCATAATTTCCACGGGGACAGTTTGATTGCTATTTTTGCACCCATGGGACCTACTTTCCTTTTTTTTGTTATTTGGATGAGATAAAAAGGGAAAATATTAAAATGAAAAGGAGGACAACCTAACATAAATAAAACGCACTTGTCAGCGTGTCGTGTGATTTTCGCCTGCTCATTATAGCCATGCGTGGGGATAGGCTCCCGTCATGATAGACTCCGGGACGTTCCCTGATTGGAAAATCTCATAAGCGCTGAGGTTAACATGGGGTGAAGCATACTTGGATAATCAATGTTCTTTTGAAATGCGAATTCAGTTCCAAATGGAAGTTGAGTGTTCACTTGGTTTTAGCATGGATTGCAGTGGCCGTGAACCAGGCACATCTTCATTTTCATCAAACTACTATGAGATTAGTCCAGCCTGATGAACATTCACTTTTCTTTCGGTTCGTAATTCTTCCAATTTCTCTCCCTTTCTCAGGGGGAGTGGGCTCTTTGGAACCTGGAACAGTTAGGTAGAACGGAAGGTAGAAAAACAGTTGGCTCATCAAAATCGGAGCGGCAAGAAAATAAGAGACTATGAGCTATTAGCGGTGCGCAGGCGATGAAAGTAAACGATCTCACAAACATAGGGTCGACAAATGGACGGGAGATCAGTGTCACCTCTTATCGTGAATAAAAAAGGAAATGTCCATTGAGGTACCTATGCCCAAAAATATTTACTTACAAAGAGTATGCGCTCCGCTTTTCCCGAAATTCCCCACCTTTCTGGCTCACACCATGGCGTAATGGAGAATTAAGAGTATTATATACACTGTCCCTTGTATGACTAAATCTTACTGGCGAAGTTACCGAAAAAGTTTTTTCTGGTGTTTGTACCCGCACTAACTGAAGAACCCTGTCAGTAATCTAGGAAGACTTCATCCCGTGAAAACCACGGACTCAATAGCTGCCCCATACATTACTACTCCTCCTGTAAATCGTCAACTGAATAAGGGCTACCACACCTTCAGCGACATGGTATCAGCACCGATACGTCGCCTCAGCACCTAATCTTATCCAAGCAACAGCACAGAATCGACCATGGAATGAAATAATAAGCATGCTATATTGAAAACAAAAACAAAACAACAAGGAGGAAGCATTGCTCTACGTATGATAATAACTGCCTAGAAAGTCCTGAATCACAGTTTACATATCTCTTTTCCCTTCAACGAATCTCGCGCCATTCCATGGCTCGCTATTTTCACTATGAATTATAACTTTTCCTATTCAGAAAGAGAGAGACCTTGGATTCACCAATATCCCTCTGATCAACTTCTTCCACTTATTCTTGGCCCCCGTAGTCGCTTGCTTCCCCTGCTTGCCCCAAGCTCCGAAGTGAAGTGCCTTCCACCTAGTGCTACTGGGATAACAGATACAACAATAACAGGTAATAATAAGCGTAGTAATGCTGGTTCGAGCGATCCACCGCTTCCTTTCCTCCTTCGCTTTTAAGAAAAAAGTGTGAATGGAATTTTAAGAAAATGTGTGTACTTTTCTGAAAAGGTCAGCCCAATATAATAGCCTCATATTTTCTTTGAGAATGCAATTTATGTGTGAATTCGACTTTTCTACTGCACTATGTACCTTAGCAATTTCTTCGAATTGCAGTAAGATTCCGATCATGTCAACAGCAACCCAGACAGAAATCGCTACGTAAAATAGGCAGGTGCCTATTTGATTGCTTCTTAATAGTTGTTATTCGTTCAAACTACCATTTCTGTATTATTGTGGAAAGAAATGAAGGACAACCTCATGCATGCTTCCCACACGCAGCCCTTTTCATATCAGAAACCTCCTGCAAACCATTCTCTCGTTTATCCGAAAGTCTGTACTATTCCATCAATTTTCTCTTTCATAGAGGGATCAAACCTAGTTTTCCAACAAAATCCATGAGCTCTTTCGATGTCATTACTAGCTTACTTCCAAAAAATATGACCATTGATCAAGCTTTCCTGTTGACAATTTCTTGGTGACCGGCATGCCCATTTTCAGATTTGGCATTTTGTTGAGAGCACAGGAAATATGATAATAGATTAGTAGTAGTGTGTTACCATGAGAGAGAGAGTCTCCAAGCCATAATTATACTCGGACATCCCGATTATGTGTAGTTTTTTCAAGCTCCTTTCAGAAAGAGGTTGACATGAACTGCGATGATACTGTGAAGGTAATCTACAATTCCTGGTTTCTCACAGCTATATTTGGGCAGATTATTGCAAGTATTGTATTGGTAGTGCTTAATATTCTGGTTGTAAGAAAATGTTGTCATCTACACTTCCATGTTAATACTAAGGTGGGTCAATCAAACATTCTTTCAGAGCTTTTTTTTCTGTAGAAGCAGCATAAGGAGCTTTAAAATAGCGCTCTTGTTATTTCAGCCTAGTTCGAAGGAAAAAAGCTCAAGCAATTTTACTTTTTTTCTTCTCCAAAGAGCGAATTCCAATCTGTCTGAGATATGTATCGTGAGCATATGTATCTTTCAAAGAAATGTTGTTGTTTACACGTGATTTGAATTTATAAACATAGGTATTAAGTCGCGGATGAGTGTTGTTTGTGTTCATCTTGTGTTCATTCATGACGTATTTTAGGTGCTTCTAACAGCGATGCTTTACCTGTATATAGTCCATTCATTTCTCATTATCTTCAATCTGGTAAGCACATTTCAATTTCTTTATTTTTCTTTTCTTTTTTTTTAATCCTCCATCGCTGCACTGGAAGAAACACTAATGGCAACTTTGTTTGAGTAATAACCTCTATATCATTCAAAGTGGGAAATACTTGAGAATAAATCCAAAAGGAAGCAAAAAGAATCAACACCACTCTTAAATGAAAAAATTCAGAGAAATTTTAGATTTAGATTTTAGGGTCGTATTCTCATTCTGACTGATTATCCACCATTGATATTCGTATTTTTAGAACCGGGTGTTTTTACGGAAGAAAAACGATTTTCAAGCAATCCATTTGTTTTACTACTTCTTCACCGATCATTGCACATTGAGTATACCGTCAATTGTTTGTTCTGGTTTGCATTTTCCCTCGATATGTTGTATGCTATCATTTGTCATACTACAGGTGGGGTTGTAGCGATATGAGCAAAGTTTATTTTCTTCTTTCTATTTCTTCTTCTCTCCTGGTTGATCTCCTTTCCTGGCTCATACGTACAGCATCAAACTGTGTACAAGGATACTATATGATAGTTATAAGAAGTAATATTATATAACGGGTAATGAATGGTAGAAT